CTTCCCCCGGCCCCGCCCTCTCTCCTTAAACGGGCAGTGGCGTCAGCGTAGGCATCCGAGGTGGACCCGGGCGTGCCCTAGACCCCGGTAGTAGGCAGGGACCATGTTCAGGTGTCCCGCAGGGTGTCCAGTCTGAGTTCTGTGCTGCAGGAACGAAGGTACCTGTGTGATGGAGCGTCCTGGTGCGTGGGCTGAGACCCAGGAAAAAGTTGTGTCAAAGAAAAAAAGGAAAGAAAGAATGTAGGGGGGCTGGGGTTGTGGCTCAGCGGTCAAGTTCTCACCTAGCTCAAATGAGAAATTATACCCCAATGATTCAAACGTATGAATTGCCAAGATCATTGTAATGTCATGTGTACTAATAAAAATAAATAAATAAATAAATAAAAAGTTCTCACCTAGCTTGTGCGAGGCCCGGGATTCCATCCTCAGCGCCACATACAAATAAATAAAATAAAGGTATTGTGTCCAATTAAAACTAAAAAATAAATATTAAAAAAGTCTCATTTAAAGAAAGAAAGAAAGAATGTAGGACTCTGGGTCTGCTCAGTGGTAGAAAGCTTGCCTTGCATTCAGGAAGCCATGAGTTCATGCCAACATTGAAAAAAAAAGAAAATTACATAATAACCTAATATGTGGGCAAGTTTCTCTAAGTACTTGACTTTTCACAACAACTCTACCAGAAAGATACTGTTATTGTCCCCATTTACAGGTGAGAAGGAGTTAAGAATTTGCCTAAGTCTGCAACTTATATGGGATGGAGCTGATTTTAACCCAGCAGTTATTATGTCACATCATCCATTCTATAAATATTTGAGGAATGCTGTCTGTGTTTTGTTTGGTTTGGTTTGGTTTGGTACTGGGGATTGAACCCAAGGGCACTTTACCAGTGAGCCACATCTCCAGGGTTTTTCTAATTTTTTGTTTTGAGACAGAGTCTTGCTAAATTCCTTAGGGCCTTGCTAATCTGCTGAAGCTGGCCTCAAACTTGTGATCCTCCTGCCTCAGCCTCCCCAAGTTGCTGAGTTGCTGGGATTACAGGTGGGCCAGCAAGCCTGTGCTTTTGTTGAGAGCGTGAACAGGTAGACACCATTCAGCCCTTAGGGAACTCAGGGTCAAAAGGAGGGTGAATAGGCAATGGATGGAAGTGACAGAATCAGGTGATTAGAATGAAGAGAGTTGTGAGAGGTGTGAGGATTTCTAGCAAGAACACCTTCCCTTGGAGGGGCACCTAATTCAGTGTGAGGGGTGCATTCAGAGAAGGCATCCAGGAGAAAGAGATTCTAAGCTAAGATCTTGAAGGGGCCAGGGAGGGGAAGAGTGTATTGGGCAGAGTGAACGCAAAAAGCTTCAGACAAGAAGGAAAGCATGGTCCACGTGGGAGCCTAAAAGAAGTAACTAAAACATCAAATTTGGGAACTGAGGAGCTGCAGGAAGTGGGGTAGGGATAGGTGGGTGGTGATAAGGTATTTGGAATCCACCCTAAAGGCCTCAGGAAGGTGTTGCAGGGATTTCTCCAAGTGATGTCAACATGATTAGTGTGTAAAGACTAGGATAGTTGAGGGGAAAAGAGGAATCAAGTGGCCCAGAGCAGAAGCCTAGAGACCACTTAGGAGGCTGCTGCTAAAGTTCAGGGAGCATTCAGGAGGTCCAAAGAGCAAGATTTAGCAGGGCACGATGGCGCATGACTATAATCCCAGCTAACCAAGAGACTGAGGCAGCAGGATTCCAAGTTGGAAGCCAGCCTCAGCAATTTAGCAAGACCCGTCCTCAAAATAAAAATGAAAAAGGGCTGGGGACGTAGCTCAGTGACAGAGTGCCTCTGAGTTCAATCCCCAGCTCCACAAAAGTGTGTGGGGGCATGCCCTAGACTTTGACTAAGTGGTTGAGAGCTCACAAAGTGAAAGGGAGGGAGGAAGCAAGGAAATGATGGGGCTGTCTGGCCTGGGGCTTGGGTGGACAATATTGCCTTCAGAGAACACAGGAAGGCAGATTGACATTGGAGAGATAATGACTCCAGAGTCCATGGAGCTCAAAGGGCCATCCAACTGAGGTGGTGAGTGAGCTGCTCAGGATAGGGACCTGGAAAGGGAGGTGCAGGTGCCATATGGTTGCCAATTCATGCATGACTGGTGCTCCAGAACCACCCTGAGTATAGTACTTATTGGCCACTCATTCATCAAATCCTAGAGTAGAAGCAAGGAAGGCTCCACGAATCCAACCCAGGCCAAAAAAGGAGACACGGTGATTTGAAGTCCAAGATAAGTACCTGGTCCCTGCTGCCCTGATCCTCCACCATCGGGCTTTTCTTCCTGCATCGTACCAATGAATAGTTCTTTGAAAAATGTCATATGCAGGCTCTGTCCAGGAAGTAATCAAATCCTGCCTCCTGGGAACGTGCAGTTTAGATAGGGAAACTACATTTACTCACTCAATAAATATTGATTGAGCACCCTGGCCCTCATCTAGGCCTTTTTCTAGGTACTTAGGATACAGGGGTGACCAAGCAAAATAAGGTCCTTCCCTTGCTGAGTGGAGGGAAACATAATGTAAAAAAATGCAGAAATGCCTTTCAAGTTTGACAGATTTTTTTTTTCCTTTTTGGATAATGGGAATTGAACCCAGGGGCTCTCAACTACTGAGCCACATCCTCACCCTTTTTTTTTTTTTTGAGACAGGGTCTCGCTAAGTTTCTTAGGGCCTTGCTAAATTGCTGAGGCTGGCTTTGAACTTGTGATCCTGCTGCCTCAGGGCTCCCAAGCCACTCGCATTACAGGTGATCACCAGATGCCCAGCTCAGTGGTGCCCTCCTCAGATGTTATAAGGAAGCTGAATTGGGTGACTGGCTTTGGTGGGAGGCATTTGTTGGGTGATCAGGAAAGACCCTGGAAGTAAGCAATGTTTAGATGAAACCTGAAAGAGGAGAGGAATTATTGCTAAACTGGCTCCAGATTTGACGCAAGTTCTCTATAGTTGAGGTGTTTGGAAGGCTGTCCTAGGCACTGGGGGAAATGAAAACAAAAACAAAAAACATCAGAATCCATGAAAAACACCCAGTGGCTCAGGAGAGTGAGGCAGAAGGATTGCTAGTTCAAGGCCAGCCTCAACAACTTAGTGAGATCCTAAGCAACTTCATAAGGCTCTGTCTCAAAATAAAAATAAAAATGGACGGGTGTGATCATGCACACCAGTAATCCCAGCAGCTTGGGAGGCTCAGACAGAATTTTGAGTTCAAAGCCAGCCTCAGCAACTGTGAGGCACTAAGCAACTGAGTGAGATCCTGTCTCTAAATAAAATACAAAATAGGGCTGGGGATGTGGCTCAGTGGTCAAGTACCCCTGAGTTCAATCCCTGGTATCAAAAACATAAATTAATAGAAATAAAAATGGCTGAGGATGTAGCTCAGTGGTAAACTGCCCCAGGTTCAAATCCCAGTACCACCCAAAAGGAAAAAAAAAAAATCTGTAAAATAAAGCCTCTGGCCTCCTGGTCACCTCTCACAGGTGACCAAACTGAGGCAGTTCATGCTAAGGTGACCATCTGTGATGCAAGGATCAGCACTGAGGAAGGTTGGAGATGGTACAGGGAACATCTTGGGACATGAGGGACTTGAGCCAGATTTGGCCAGAAAGAGTGGAAAGTGAGGTGACCCACAGGTGGGGCCTTGAGTGCCAAGTGAGAGGACTGGCCCTGTGTTCTGTGAAGCCATTTGAGGGCCTTTGGGAACCCCCTTCGGCATTCCCAGATTCAACCATTATGGAGAAGTCGCAGCTCTTGCTTCATCTCTTTTCTTTCCTGAAGTATTTCGAAGCCCATCTCAGATCTCATTTCACCTCGCCCCTCTGTGTCTCAGTGTGTGTTTTATTTTTTAGAGGGTACGGGAGTCCTGGGGATTTAACCCAAGGCCAATTCACCACTGAGCCATGTCCCCAGCCCTTTTTATTTTGAAACAGGTACTTGCTAAATTGCTTAAGGCCACATTAAATTGCTTTGAGGCTGGCTTTGAACTTGTAATCCTCCTGCCTCAGGCTCCCTAGCTGCTGGAATTACAGGCATGTGCCAGCATGCCTAACTTGTGTGTTTTAGAAATATGGCTATTTTCTTACAAATCCACAGTGTCATTGTCATACTTACCAGGATTAAGAATTCCCTTTTATTATTGCAGTAGTAGGGATGGAATCCAGGCCTTGCCACATGCTAGGCAAGCACTCGGCCATTGAGTTGCACCCTCAGCCCTAATTGTTAAATAATATCTCTTCCCCAATTCATTTTCAAATTTTCATGATTATCTAAAAATTGTTATAATGTCATTTCTTTTAGACAAATGCAGTATCCAAACAAGATCTGCACCTTTTTTTTTTTTTTCCACATTTTGAGAGTTCTGGTTCTTATATCTTTTTACTCCAGCAAATTTGCTTCACCTATCCATTGGGTTAGCTTTCAGATTCAAAGGTCACATCATTTTCCAATTGTGGCCACTGTGGGCCACTGGCCCACTGACACACTGGTGACTAATGCATTGGAGCCTCAGCCCTATCATGTCCTATGTGACTTTGTGCAAATTACTTAACTCTCTGTGCCTCAGGCTTTTCATCTGTAAAAAACGGAGACAAAAATAAGTGGGGTTTCTGATTCTTCAGATGAGGCCATATACCTAAAGCAATTTTGTGCAGTGCATGGCAAATTTCCATGTTATTATTATGGGGAAAGGGTGTTCCAAGGAAGGAGGGATGGATACCAATATTCCTCAGAACTGCTTCTGAATGTTCCAAGGCCCAAAAGAGGAAGGAGACAAAGACACCACTCCTGAGTGTCACCACTATCTGTTTCTGTCTGTCTTTGCCTTGTTCCCTGAGTCTACCTGTGCAGATCTCTTTATCTCTTTATCGCTCTCCTTCTCTTCTCTGCATTTCTCTGCTTCTCTCTACTTGTCTTATGCGCTCCCCTCTTTGGACCCTTCTCTATCTCTGCGCCCCTCTCCCCAGCTGCCCGTGGCTGCTATCTTTGTTACTGACCCTGGGCAGTGTATCTTCACCTTGTGTTTCTTTCACCTTCTCCTTGCAGCTTTCTTCTTTCCCCCTGTTTTCTCTCTCTCCTTCCACCCCCCTTCATCTCCTGGCTCCAGCCCCTGCAGAGTCTCCTGGATGGACAGTCCTTGTAACCACCTCCGTGACAGCCGCCCCTGTAACCCAGCTCTGCGTATCTTGGGGAGACTGTGTTTCACGGTTTCCATCTTCTGCTCTGTCCCTTCCTGGCTGGTGACAGCATGTTCCTCTTCTAGCCTGTCTCTATTTCAGCTTCTCTGTTTATTTCTGTCTGTCTCTTTTTCAATTTCATCCCCACAATATTTACTGAGCAGCCACCATCCAAGGAACTGGATGATTGGACAGTGTTGACCTAGGTAGGCACATGCCAGCTTTCAAGGAATACCCACTCTGCTGGGGAGACAGGCACCAGACAAAGGCACAGGCCAACACATGACCCTGGCTGCCCACCTCATCCTGCTGTGCACAGGAGTTGGCGAGGTCTTGGGCCTGTGAGGGAAAATTGGCTCTGTTCTGAGCTTCCCTGACAATTGCCTGTCCCTAAATAGGGACTGTGCACCACTCAGGAAACCAGATCAGAGTGTTTAACCCATTTGATCACTCAACAGCATGCACTGTGAGCCAGGCTGGGGGAGACAAGTAAAAAGAAAAGATCCCCAGCCTATGCAGGACCACAGTCTGCCGTAGGAGGGAGACAAGAGTAGCGTAGGCTAGGCAGAGGAAACCAAAGGCAGGTGGCCCTGGTCCCCAAAGAAGGCTGGAAAGATTCCTCACTTTCTCCTCTTCTTACCTCTGACAGGTTTGTTCTACATAGGGTTAAAAATGATTTCAGCAGCTGTGATATTTTTTTAAAAAATTCTTCAGAACTAGCATTTGAAAGGGAGAATATTTTATGTACAACTCAGGATTTCCAGCTTCTCTGGGGGAAAAAAAATCAATCTGGGCCCAGTAGCGCAGGCCTGTAATCCCAGTGGCTTGAGAGACTGAGGTAGGAGGATTGTAAGTTCAAAGTCAGCCTCAGAAATTTAGTAAGGCCCTAAGAAACTTAGTGAAACCCTATATTTAAATAAAAAATAAAGAGAACTGGGGATGTAGCTCAGTGGCTAAGCATCCCTAGGTTCAATCCCCAGTACAAAAAAAGAAAAAGAAAAATCAGATCTGGCAAAACAGGGCTCATCTCCACAGGACAGTAATTGGCTGGAGCTGTGTCAAGGTTGTCCCTCTAAATGGGGGCTGTGGTATCCAGGTCCCCATCCATTCCCCTTGTGTCCCTGACATGGAAGTCAAGTTCTAGCTGCCTTTGAATGACCACAAGCTTATGCTGTGGCTCTCCTTACATTAAAAAAATATTTTTTTGTTCTATCTCCATTAAAAATGGAGAAATGAGCCAGGCATGGTGGCACCCCTGCAATCCCAGCAATTCAGGAGGCTGAGGCAGAGGATTGGAAATTCAAGGACAGACTTAGCAACTAAGCAAGACCCTTAGCTACTTATTAGACCCTGGCTCAATATAAAAAATAAAAAGGGCCCAGTGTGGTGGTACACGCCTGTAATCCCAGTGGCTAAGGAGACTGAGGCAGGAGGGTCGTGAGTTCAAAGCCAGCCTCAGCAAAATCAAGGCGCTAAGCAATTCAGTGAGACCCTATCTCTAAATAACAAAATAAGGGTGGGGATGTGGCTCTGTGGCCAAGAGTCCTTGAGTTCAAGGCCCAGTATCTCCACACACCAAAAAAAATAAATAAATAAAAATGACCAGGGTTGTAAATCAGTGGTAAAACATCCGTGGGTTCAGTCTCCAGTGCAAAAAAAACCACCCAAAACAAAGCAAACCCAGAAGAATGAGAATATACTTATATTAAAAAAACACATTGTACTGTCATGTATAAGTAATAAGAACTAATAAAATATTAAAATGCCAAAAAAAAATAAAGTGGGCAAACAAAAGGTAACAATAAGAACCAAGCCCAGAGCCAGGGACAGTGGCACACACTTGTAATCCCAGTGACTCGGTATGCTGAGGCAGAAGGATTGCAAGTTTAGGCCAGCCTCAGCAACTTAGTGAGACTGTGTCTCAAAATAAAAAGTAAAAAGGACAGGGGTGTGGTTCAGTGGAAAAATGTTGTGGGTTTAATCCCCAGTACTCTCCCCCCCCCAAAAAAAAAATCAGGCACAGTGGCACAAGCCTTGTAACACAGCCACTTAGGAGGCTGAGGCAAGAGGATCACAAGTTCAAGGCCAGCCTCAGCAACCTAATGAGACCCTGTCTCAAATTAAAAAAAAAAAAAAAACATGGCTGAGGATGTAACTCAGTGGTTGAACTCCCCTGGGTTCAATCCCCAGTACTGGGGAAGGGGGGCGGTGGGAAGAAAGATAACAACAGAGAGATGTGGCAGAGCCTTTGGAGTTTGCAGTCCTAACAAGGAGCAGCTACTGACTGAGGCAGGGGACTACCCCTCATCCCTACCTGAGCTGCCTACCTCTGTTACCCACACCCTCCCCTGAGCTTCAAGCCCCCTCCACCCTAATAGGGTCAGGGGCCAAGCTCTGACAATCAGGCAGTCCCCCCTGCCCACCCCTTGGCTCAGTGAGAATGGGAATCATCCCTGGGGCTTTTCTGGTGGGGCCCAGGGCTCTGGTGGGCAGGGGGCCAACTTGGTGGGAAACCGGTAGGAGAGGCAGTTCTTGCTCCCTTAAAACCAGGATTCAGCAGCAGCCCTGCACTTCCTACCAGGAGACCCCTCACTCTGTCCTGCCCAAGGGCAGCGCAGAAAGGCAAACCAGCAACCACAACCTACGGGAGGGCTTGGTCAGGGAGCGCACCTCAGACAAGGGAACAGGGAATCTGCAGAGACTTGCGTGATCCAGGGAGAGAGACAGAAGAACAACCAAGGAAGAGGCAGTTCTTAGTCATTCTCAACATACATTTATTGAGTGCTTACTGTGTGCCCTAGAGTAAGCCAAGTGCTAGAAACAGCAAAGGGACAGGGAGGAGTCAGGGTCAGCAGTTGAGTTGCCCGTGATGCCATTGACCCTGGTTAACATGGGGAATAGATAAACCCTTCAGGCACCACGCTGATGGACTGGGCTGGGCCCTGGACGCTCGACCTGGCCTGCCTAGATGTTCCTTCTAGCAACAGAAAGGGATCTAGTGAGGCAAGAGCCTCCCCTCCCAGGTGCCAAGGCACACAGTCAAGCTCCTACACACTCCTCTAAACACGCACACAATCCCACATACCCAGAACACATCTCAGACTCGTGCGCGCACACAAACATACAACACACACACACACACACACACACACACACCACACACACGGACACAGAGTCAGAGCCAAGCGGTAGCCAAGGAGGTTCTCCCCCCCATGGCTGGGATCTGAGTCACTCTGCTCAGTATAAACCTGCCCGGTACTTAGAGATGACCTCGGGATGCTTTTTGGCCAAGTCTCTTACCAAAATGTGAAAGACATAAAGGAAACATGATCGAGGTGAAAATAGCTTAAGGCTTTGCCGAGAGAGGGATTATGGGAGGAGTGGGGTCAGCAGGAATGGACCTCACTTGCTTTACGTGGCCATGGTCATGTCATGGTCAGAGCCGCCTTAAGTCAAGGTCCTGTCATATGGAAGTGGGGGCAGGGACCTCGCTGTGCTGTCTGCCCTTTGTCAGGGCCATAAAAATAATGCCAGTGTGGCAGCCTACTCAGTGCCAGGCACACCACCATGCAGGTGCTTTACCTGCATGTACACCTGGTTGTTCTTCCCAAGCTGTCTCCTTGACAGAGATGGAGGCCGCCTCTGAGAAGGGTCAAGGTCAGGGAGCAGTCAGTGCCGAGGCCCTGCTTGGGTGGGGGAGAATGACTAACTTCATTAGTGACCAAGGGGCACAGGCGGTGGCTCCATGCTGGCAGGAAGAGGCTGGAGCTATGGCAGGATGCCCTCACGGAGGATGGTGCATGTCCCTGACACTTGGGAAGCTCAGGGTGAGTCAGGCATGGAGGAGTCGCCTATGGAGTCTGCCTGCTCACACTGACCTTCCCACCAACCCCAGGACAGGGTTGCAGCCTGAGGATAAATAACACCCTGACTTGGGGGGATCCTAAGTTCTTAACCCTCATAAGCCCATGGTCTATATTTAAGGAAAATAGGCCATTGTTCTCAAGTTGGGTCTCTGGTAATTGACACCTTCTTGGCCCAAGAGCCCATGAGAACCCTCCTATCACCCCACAGGGGGAGGGAAGGGGAGCTGCTACTGAAATGACCCCTGAAGCCCGATTCTGATAAGATTTTGCAGAGCTCTCTGCAGGAGCCCCTCATCACGGGTTACTCACAGCTTGTCCCCAGTCCCTCATCACCCCCACCCCAATTGTATATCTATTCCAATTCACACAGGTTGACATCAAGTGCATCGAAAAACCCCACAGAGCTAAACGTGTGCATTACTGTCTGGGACAGTTCTGCCCATATGACCCCAATACTAGATGTCCTCCTCACTTTCAGTGTCCTTGCAACTTATAGCAGGGTGATGTCCTCCTCAGCTGTCTGGGCCAGGCAGCGCCAGGTTAAGGAAGGTCTGCACAGGAGTTCTTTTGACTGGGACAATGCTGGGCACAGGAGGGAGAGAGGTGGAGCAAAACAAGGAAGGACCCCGAGGGCCTGAACCTTCTCTTTGGCCTTTATGAGGGCTGGAACTTTTCTCTATGAGCAGGCCCCGGCAGTGGGAGCTGCCGGCAGAGGCCTAGGGAGTTCAGAGGAAGCCGACCCCTAAGAATGCCTTGATCCCAGAGCTAGAGACAGGAGGGGCTCCTGGCAGTGTCCCTAAACCTAGCTCGGCCCCCTTCCTCACTCTGAAACCACAAGACTGGACATCACTTCCTGTTTCTTCCCCACTTGGAGGACAAAGGGGAAGGTGAGAGGCTGGTGGCCACTTGGTGCCCCCTGCCTGTGATCAGTCTCCATCTCAGGGCACTCCTCTTGAGATTGGGGCAGCTAGGGAATTGCACCCTCAAGTACCCATCAGCCTCCAGAGCCCAAGGACCCCCTCCTTCCTAATGAAGCTCTTGGCTCCAAGAAATAAAAATTCTACCTAAGCTTTCTCCCCTTCCTGGGGCTGCTCGTCTCCCTGCTCCAGAAGCCCTAAGACGGCTGCTCATAATGGAATGTTCTGGTCTTGAGGGCTTGGTTCCTCCAATGTCTTAAGATCCACATGTAAGCCCTGCCCTTAATCCTAGGCAAGTTATTCCACCTCTCTGGGTCTCAGTTTTCCAACTGTAAAATGGGGATGATAGTATCTGTTTAACTCTACAGGATTCAATGATAATAACAGGAAGATATGTAACTGTATAAAGGCAGCACGACAGACCCGCATCCTGACTGGGGGTACCAACCCATCTAGCTCATCACCACCTCTGTAGCTGGCTTCCATTTTCACGCCTCTAATCCTCACCCACTGCTGGCTGCAGGCTATTTTCAACCTTCACTTCTAGTCTCTCAATGCTGGCATCTTCCCTCAAAGTGCCTCTCCCTAAAGGTGCTGCTGGGCACAGCACAGGCCATCTGCCCAACATCATAGAGGTTTTCCAGCTGGAAGGGACCTTGCTAGTCAGCATTTCCCCAAACTGCCCTCCTCTTCACCAGTGTATCTCAGACTTTGGGAGGCACCAGAATCACCAGAGGCCACTACTGGAATCTACAACTTTAACCAACAGCCAGGAGCCTTTGCTGCAGATAGCCAGGGGCCACATGTTGGGGATGGCTCTGGTGATTAGAGCCAGGCCATAACAGTACACATACCCCTTCTTAGAGACCCTCAAAGAGTACCATGAGAATGCTTGATACAAAGGAGCAGACTTAACTTTAACTCAGCATTTCCAAAATTAGACTATAAATCTCTTAAATTAGAATAACCATTAACACATCATAGACCAGCACCTGGGTGGTGGTTTGGAAAATGTGTTTGTTTTTTTTTTAGTTGGGGGGAGGACAGGGAGATGATGGGTTTGGAACCTAAGGCCTTACACATGCTAAATATGTGCTCTACACTGAGCTAAACCCCCAAGCCCATTATTTGTTGGGTTCTGATTTCTATTTTTTTTTTTTTTGGTACTGATTATTGAACACAAGGTACTTTACCACTGAGCTACATCCCCAACCCTTTTTAAGACAGAATCTCACTAAATTGCTGAAGGTCTTGCTAAGTTGCCAAGGCTGACCTCAAATATGTCATCTTTCTTGCCTCAGAGATTACAGGTGGCCCAGATGGGTTGTGATTTTTAATATTTAAGCAATCTTGAGCCTAAGAGATTCAGTGGCCAGCTGTCACTTTGGAGCTCAAATTAGGCCTGAGTCTGTCCCTTCCTCTTCTGTTTGTCCACCATATCCTGACACTGTTCTCTGAGCCTGCAGTTCTCTTGGGGCACCCTATATCCTACACTCAGGAGGAATCCTTGGGGTTGTGGAGCAGTGACAGGAAATCTGTGTAGGTGCTGAGACGGGGTTTGGATTAGCTTGTCTGGCTGGGACAGGCAGCAGAGGGGGTGGCCCACACTTCCGCACAGCCCAATTTGTCTGGGGTGGAGGCAGACGTAAGGTCTTTTCCTGGCTCACTGCCCCTCCCCAGTCAGGTCACCCGAGAAATGATGAGCAGCCGAGTACAGCTGGGGCTGGTCAGTGGCAGAACATCTTGTCCTGCCTTTTCTTCTCAGGCTCAAAACAAACACATACTGCCATCAACTGATATGGTAGGCGGGGCGGCCCTTACTGGGAGGAAAATGGATTTATTGCTTTATAAAAAGAAGTATGATAAAACTTAGGAGAAGAAAAACTAAAGACCTAAAAATCAGCCCACTCCTCTCAGCACCCAGCAGGTCTCAGAGACATTTCTGGGGGCAGTCAAGTTGGGTGGGGTAACCAGCCAGGCAGGCTTGGCTTCTCCCTTGTAAACAGCTCCAGGGCCCTGGCAGAATCTGCCAGCAGGGGGCGCTGTGGCTCTGAACAAGCTCCATGTCCTGAGCCAGACTGACTCCTGAACCCTGGGGCTGCCGCAGGCCCAGTGGGCTTCTGGTCTGGTTGGTGGGCATAAGGACAGACCCTAGGGCTCATCCTCATCTCACACACCACATGTACACACATTCCACACAAACACAACCCCCCTCGGTTCCTCATGGATCAGTCTCCTTCCCTGTACAGGTCTGGGCCTCCATGTCTGTCAGCACAGCCTTATTTCCACCCCACAGGAACAACTCTGTGTGTATGTGTCAGGGAGGTACCCTGGTGGTGCCCTTTAATTCCCTTCAGGTCACAGACTGGACCGAGGGTGGCAGTGGAAACATTCTCCCCACCTGCCCCCAGCCCTGAGGGAGGAGGTGAGGAGCAACCAAGCAGCCTTGTCCAGGGCTCCTGAGGCTTAGTATGGCCATCCTGCCCTCCATCCCCACACTAGGCTGTGAGCCAGGGGGCTTCTCCACAGGCCTCAAATGAGAGGACAAGCCATGGACAGGCCACAGGGGGCTGGGATTACAAAGGGGTTAGCACCAACAACAGGAAGCGGGTCCTTCCTTCCTCAGGCAGCCACAGACTGACCATGGGAGGAGGCTGAGGGGCCAGGCGAGGGGGTTGCAGACAGTGCAAGCCTTTGTCCTCAGGCAGGTGTGGTCGGTGGGCATGCAGCCGAGAGGCAGGTGGTGGGCAGTGGATGGCAGGCCCCTCTGCTTTGGCAAAAGGCAGAATCCAGACCCTTAAGGGAGAGAGCCTGCCTGCTTGGAGTGCTTTGGGTTCCTCCTGCAGGCACCATGGAGACCCAAGGCCCTGGGGTCCCTTGGGGTGGCAGAGCAAAGCCAAGGCGGCCCTGCTTCCAACAGTAGGAAAATTGCCCTTCCTGGGCCCTCTCCCATCCTTTCACCGCAGAGCTCCGAGGCAGGACCAAAGCCCTGAGAGGGAGTATGGACTCCAACATGGTGAAGGAGAGGATCCTGGGGGTGCATGGGGTCCTCTGGGGTGAGGAGCAGGACACTGATCAGTCACTGAAGCATGGGCAGGAGGCCACAGTCCTGAGGTGGTCAGTGCTACACGAAAGCCTCCCGGTTGGATGAGCCATTGATCTTGAGGAAAAGCTTGTCCTCTTCCCTCTTCTGCTGCAGCTGCCTTTCCAGCTGGCGCCGGTAGCAGATCAGGTAGAGGGGCAGGCAGAAGCCCAGCATGCTCATGATGAGCAGCCCCACATTCACCTGGGAGGTGGGGAGGAAAGGGCCATCACAGGGGGTGGGGGCCAGGCAGCGCCCAGCTCAACACCCCCCTCACACTCAGGTTTGGAGAAAAGAGTTGGTTACAAGAGAGGAGAGGAGAAAATGAACAGGAAGGTTCAAGAGGTCCCAGGGCTGTCACTCCACATTCCAGCACCTGAATTCCCCGATTCCCCACAGGCTACCAGCAGCCCTCAGGGCCTGGCCCTCCACCTGAGACCTATTGATCTGAGTCTCCGGGGTGGGGCTGGGATTGTGACAACTCCTGGTACCTGGTTAAGAATGCAGGAGGGCCTGGGACAGGACCTCTCTTCTACTTACCCCAAAATCAAGTCCAGAGAGATCATTTTTCTCTTCCCGCCTGGCCACCATTTACAAGGGGACATAGTTCTAACCAAGTTCCCAAATTGCCTATCCTCTGTGCTCTGAAGCCCCCAGCTCCCAGTTAGTAGAGTGGAGCAGATGTCTTGACACCCTGTTCTAACCCTTCTTACCCACAGAGGGTCTCCTTGGAGGGGACCCATCATGGCCAAAAATAGTGGCTGCTGCAGGAGAGCAAAGAGCGCACTGATCAGAGACTGCAGTCCCGTGAGGCTGCCGAACTGCGTGGAGGGGTACCTGTTGGAGCAATTGAGACCTGTCACAGTCAGGGCCATTCTCAGGCAAACAATGCCTTGGCTTCAGCTGGTCAAGGTGTGCTGGTGCCCTGGGCTACACCTGCTTGAAGGGAGAGGCCAGAAGAGCCTCAGAGTCCCTGGATTACTTTCTGCTGAGCATTTCTGCAGTTTCTCTTTTGGCCCAGCCCGAGGCCCCAGACTCTGCAGAGGGCCCACCCGACCTGCCCCACCCAGATGTGCCTAAGCCCTGTGGGTGTCTGGCTGAGCCAAGTGGGGACGTGGTGCCAACAGGAGTCTGCGGCTTGGGAAACAGGCCCAGGGAACAGGTTGGAGGCTGGGCCTGGCTCTGCGGCACCCTCCTCCCGAGGAGTGTTGTGTAATCACGGAAACTCAGCATCACTGCTCTCCCCGATTCCCTCCCGTCCTGCCAGGGCAGCCACAACTTCCTCCAGGCCTAGGGGGGCCAGGCGGGGGCAAGGCAGACCTGGAATGACCCCCATGGGATACTGCTGGAAAAGGGAGTGAGTTCTGGGTTAAATCTCGGCAAACATCAGGCTTTGCTGCCCAGAGGTGGGAAGGGGCTCCCCGCAAGGAATGAGCTGGTCTCCTAGTCACAGATGTGGATGACGGTATCTGGGTTCCAGTTTTGGGGCCAATCCCTGGGTCAAAGGGGGAACAGCTGGGTGGCTTCTGAATAAAGATAGGGTTTCATTTTAGCCGGGTTTGAGAAGGCTGTGGCCGGCACTGGGCCATTTAGGCTCTGGGTGAGAACTGTTTGGCACATTCTGGGCTCAGCCATCTGTGTCGCTGTCCTTGTTGAGGGCCATTAGAATTTCAACATGTAGCTTTCAGCAGCCAGAACCCATCCCTGTACTTCCCAGTGAGCAGCCAGGGCAGCCCTAGACTCGGATGAGCAGCAGCCCCAGAGGCCCTACATGCTGCACGGGGTCACTGACTGTGGCTGGGAGAACCGATTTCATGTTAAATGCCAAGTCTTGTGTGCACCCAACTGTCTGTCCACTGACCACTGACCATGGATCAGGTATGGCTTTGCCTAGACACACCCAGTAGAAACCATAGTACTCATCCCCTCATGCAAGAAGATGAACCCTGCCTTGGCAGTTTGGCTCAGCCTCAGGGTCTTCTCAGTCCCACAATGAGCTCCCCAGGTCATGCCCTCCTCCTTGTCCACTAGAATGCCCACAGTTGCTGGAACTTACACAGCAGCGTACAGACCCCCAACAGCAGAGTGGATAAATCCTCGCACGATCGTGTGCAGGATGAAGGAGAAGATCTGAGGGAGGGAGAACAGAGAATGAGCAGAAGACCACCAGGGTCTTCACCTTGCCCCCTGCCCTCCAGTTCTTGAGGTCTTGAGTCACAGGAGCAGGGGCAAACCAACAGTTGGCTGTCGCCCCTTTAATCAGGCAAGATGGTCAGGGCAAGGGTCTTCCAGTATTGCAGGAGGCCAGGGGAGACACCCAGGAAGCAAGGACCCTCCCACCTAGAACTAGCACAGCCTCCTATGGCTTACTGTGGTCTATACCCCAGTGTTGACACAGACACATAACAGAATCCGTGGGTGTGCACACCTGTGTGTTCAACATACTCCAACACCTGGCCATTTGTAAATAGGGAGGGACTCTTGCTTTCCTACTGTGCAAGGTGCAAGATACCATCTGGACTTGGGCTACGCCCATCTGAAAGCAATGCCATCACTTGTATCCCTTCATAGTTTGTGAACTTGGGACTGAGCCAAAATCTACTGTTAGAACACTTTCCCAGATCAAAGGATGGGGCCAGGGAGATGACAAGGTCTACCTTGCTTACAATCTCTGACAAAAGTCAGGTTTCTAAAACATCAGAAATATTGTGCAAAGAAATTAAGCCTTTGAACCCAGATGCCAAGCCATGATCATGGTCTTTCTCCACTGTCTCCAGGGTAGAGGCCCTGTGGGCATTCTTGTTCTAGGGAGGCAGAGTCTCCCAACCACACCACAGATTGGCTAGACCTCTTTGGACATCAGATTCCAGCTGTTTGAGCAAATGAAAAACAAGTAACCACACAACTATCCCACAGAGTTCCAGTAAATGCATGATGGTGGTTCTCATGGTATGTGAGATGTCCAAGAGACTAAGGAGAACAATGTGCCTTCACAAAGAACAGTTCTGTGAAAGACAATCCAAATCTCCTTTACAAGCTGGGTGTGATGCTGAGTGCCTGTAATCCCAAGAACTGGGGAAGCTGAGGCAGGAGGAGGGCAAATTTGAGACCAGCCTGGGTAACTTAGTAAGATTCTGTCTCAAAATAAAAAAGTAAGGGGGGGAGGGCTGGAGTTTTAGCTCAGTGGTGGAGCACTTGCCTCACAAGTATGAGGCACTGAGTTTGATCCTAGCACCACATAAAAACAAATAAAGGCATTGAGTCCATATACAACTAAAAATAAGTAAGTAAATGAATAAATAAACAGGAAGGGATATAACTCAGTAGTAGGCAGAGCACTTGCCTAGCATGTGTGAGGCACTGAATTCAAACCTTAGCACCACATAAAAAAATTAATAAAATAAAGGTATGATGTCCCTTTACAACTACAAAAAATTAAAAAAAAAAAATAAAACAACAACAACAACAAAAACCTCTCCTGTATAGCTCCCTCTTCCATTGAACACAGAGCCTAGCAGGTAGCAGGCCCTCTATATATAATGGTGGCTTGTTTGGTGGGTTGGCATTGGTTGATTGGTTAGGTTGAAAGAGTGAAGTCACATTGCTTTATCAGTGACTTCTAGTCTCTAAACAATGTTCCTTCTTGTCCCATTCCCCACCTGGCCTCTCCCTCTCCCCATACCCACCTGTAGAGGGAGATTGGGAATGAGGCAAGTCACCCCAAAGCCCACAAGCAGCAGGTTTGTAAAGGCGAAGGCCCGCATGGCATTGGTGACCTTCTGGATCTGACGGTCTCGCTTCTTCTTCTTCTCACCTCTGTGGAGATGGAACATATATTGGAACTGGGAGGGTCCCTGGAGGAAGGTGGACCTTTCCCAAAAATCAGGCCTTGGGAGTCCCAGCATGCAGACTGATGCAAAACTCACAGGCCACCCAAGTGCATCTTAGCGATTGTGTCAGAGAACTAGAGACACTCCCTGGTCCAACTTCTACATTGAGCACCAGATATGAACGTCAGTGGAGGGTCTCAGACCCGAGAAGGTGGCCCTCTACACACTACCCTGCTTCACTGAAGTGCCAATGAGGGGGAGGGAGGTATGCACCCACCTAGGGTGTGGGGAGCCTCACTGCGCCATTGGCTTGAGTTCACCCAGATCTCACAGGAAGCTGGGGATCAGCCAGATAATGAGCCAAATAAGGGAGTGAGTGGATTTCCCCTTGGGGGGCAGAGAGGGTGAAGGGGAAATAAACATGCAGCAGATGGAACCAGGATGGGCACAAATAACCTCTTGGCTGTGGGACCTGACCTAGATAACAGAGCATGCTCTGTAATTATCTCCTTGTGAATTAACTATTACGAAGTCCAGTCTCACCACCCACACCTAGACCCCATGGATGATCCCATGTCTAAGAACCAATGCCAAGTGCTCAGGGATCTGCAGGGAGTCCCAGGCCCACTACTTCCTAACTATGTGACCTCAGGCAAACGACTCAGACTCCCAGCTTCAGTTCTCTCATCTGTGAAATGGGTATAACACTAGTACACACCTCCCTGTGGTGAAGAGAGGCTTAACTGAGGTATTATGTGTTAAATGCTTGGCACTGGGCCTGATACAATAAATAGCAGCTTATTATATTAAGGTGGAGTCTCAGAAGATGGCATTTAATTCATCCTCTGATCTTAAAAGCCCAACCCTTCCATAAAGTAAGGCTCCAGCACCTTGCTTAATCCTCCCAATCATCAACAAATCTATTAATATATTGGTTATTAAATCTTACTACTCAAACTGAGTGGAATAAACCCCATGGGCAAGATGGTCCCATAGTGCTATTCATGCCAAGGATCTGAGGGCCATCCTGGGGCCATAGGTCTCCCTTCTGGTTTCTCTCCTGCTTTGTGCCTCCAAACTTTAGCATACCAAAGAATTTCCATAAAGAGACTGAAGACCTGAATGTGCAGAGGGCTGGCTGCATGAGTATCTTCAAAGAGTTTCCAGACTACAGAGCACACTCCGCTCCTGCCCTCCTGCTGCCTAAAAAATTGAACCCACCACCCTGTCCCTGCCTAACTTGAGACTCAGTGGGCCTTCTCCAGGGGCTGAGCAGGGCCGTGGCTCTGCCTACGCACTGGGCAGTGTCCTTCTCCTCGGGCTCCTCAGAGGTATCTTCGCACTCCTTCAGCCTCCAGTCCATGATGTAGCCGATAACAGGTGCAGTCAGCAGGCAGAGCAGCTGGAGTGCGCCGAAGATGGAGGTATAGAGGGCAACTGGGGAGGAAGGAGTTGCGTCACAGGGGCTCCTGCACAGAGCCCTTAGGGCACAGGCTGAGTGGGCCTTGGGAAGGTACCCACAAGTCCTTCTGGGGTCTGCCTCTGAACCCCTTTGTCACTGCAGGTCTTGGGGAGAGCCCAGAGACAACCTCTGAAATCAGAGCTGGGCAAGAGGCAGATCACTCAATTTTCTGCTCCAAATCCTCTGCCTACTTCCCAGAAACAGCTAATAAAATACAGTATGTCACAATGATCCCCCTCATCAGAAGTTCTAGGAAGTCACTATGACTTGGGAACCACAAAATTACCAATGTCCACGACAGAGTCTTTGCGTGTGACTGGCCATTAGTTTTCTGCCTCTAGGACTAACCCAGGAAGGCACCACTCATCGGGACTGTGATGTAAAGGCTTTCATCAGCAGAGAGACTTAAAATTATAAAGGACAGGAGCACAGTTTCAGGGAGATAGCTGAAAGTTGATTGCCCTGCCCCACCCCCACCCCAAGCAGGATGATGAGAGTTCAAGGTGAGAAATCTCCCTTTGAAGAGAGACTGGCGGGGAAGGGTGTTGCAATGTTCCCTGACAACCCCCTGCTTACCCGTGGCCATCACTGCATTGAGAAAGCAAAGGCGGAAAAAGCAGAAAAGACAAAGGTTAGTGGTAGGAAAGGCCATTAGAGGGGATGGGGGAGGAGGCAGGCTAGTGCTCACACACCTCTTTCCACCAAGACCTGCTCAGAGCACTAGGCAGGCTGAGACTGCAGCAGGCTCCCTGCAGCGGATCTGGGAGCAGGCCCAGCCCAGGCGCCGGCTGACATTTTCCTGTCTGCCGGTGCCTCATCACAGGCAGGCTGGTGAGTCAGGCCTGTGGTGCTGGCTGGGCAAAGTGATGGGGAAGTGATGGGCTGTGTGCAGAAGGCCTTGCAGAATCAGGGTCCCCCACTGCCGCGTGACCCTGTGGGAATGCTGCTGCACTCAAAGCGAAAGGTCAAAGAATCCACCGGACAACCAGGCAAACCATTTGATACCAGGGGTCTCCCTGAGACGCCAGAGCTGGTCCTTATACTCTACCAGCTCCCTGACCCTATGGCAGCCCCTCTGGGAAGAGCTAGGGCCATAGGGCTTTAGATGTTGGGTTCCAGAGGAACACGCTGGGGAAGATCAATGCCTTGTCTACTACCATAGACCAAACTTCCTGGCCCAATTTCCTCTACTTCTTTTTTTGGAACTATGAATTGAACCCGGGGTCTTACGCTTATCAGGCACCACTGAGCCACATCCCCAGCACTTTTTATTTTTTTTGGTTCTGAGGGAACAGTGTTACCTAGTTCCCTTTGCTATCTTTTGCCTTTGTTAAAACAGGATTTCTTACCCTAGTTATAAACTCTTGTTTCACCCCTTACAAGGCCTATCATGTCTTCCCCACAGTGAAAAACAAGTAAACCAACAAAAGAAAGTTGCATGCCAGTGAGTCTGCCAATAAAAGGATTTGCCGAATGTGTTTGTCCCGTTGGGGATGACTAAAGCTGACTCAGCTAGGCCCTGGGGAAGTACTGACTTTCTTTGTAGGAGCAAAACCTCTAATCAGCTGAAGACCTTCGCTGTTTTCGCATGGGTTATCAGTTCTGTTTCCCGGAGTTAACAAGCCTTAACTGGATTATGATGCTCCCAGGAAATCTTTGCCTTCCTGTTTTACCCATATAGGGCACGGATTCCAGTATGTACCCAAAAGTCTCCACCCAGGACTATGTCCTCCTCCTCGACCCCCAGAAGCTCCACACATGGAGACTGCAGTCTACATGGGGCTAGACTTGCTGGCCTTCTGTGTCACTCAGGTGGAGAAATCTGCACTGTTTTCATTTACAGACACATCCTTCAGCCCTCCCCGCCAGCACTGGAAAACATACACCCCACGCCCTAAACACATGGAGCTATTTTGGTCCTTCCCTCCCTCCTAAACCGGGAAACCCTGATGGAGACCTGAGAACAGTCAGGGCTGGCTGTGGTGAAATAGCTCTAACAGCAAACAGAGCCACAGACACTGCCATTTCAGAGCCCTTCTGGTCCAGCTCAGCCTAACACACTCCAGTAGGTGGCTATGGGGCATGACCCTAGCTGGTGGCAGTGAATGGCACTCTTGGGGCACCTTCCCCTAGTGTTGTGTACTGAGGTCCAGGGGCACCTACCTGTCTTCTGGTCGCCACTGACCAGAAACTCAAGGATGCTGTTCATGGCCCCCATGTAGAAGATGAGGCGCAGCTGCGTGACGCACATGGTAACCAGACTGAGCAGCAGGATGGGGCTGAACACGCTGTGCATGAACGAGGGGGCCGCTGCAGGGAAAAGGTACAGGGCTCAGGGCTGAGGCACACAGCCCACTCAGCAGCCAGGAGCTGAGTGCGAGAGAGGAAGGGAGGCCCAAAATGCTGACCAAGTCACTCCACGCTGGAGGCTGGCAGGGGGAAATAAGGAAGAGCCTGGTGGGGTTCATGGTGCTGGTGCTGGAGCTGGGTAAAACTCTCACCCTCCTGAACTTCAGTGTGCCCATCTGTAAAACTGGGCAGGTGATGCCACCAAGCCCTCTGGGATGAAGTAGGAATTTAATGAGATGACACCACAGAGCCTCAGTTAGTACTGGCCCTAGTCAAGGGGGTGCTGGAACCGCCCCCTCCAGTTCTGGGTTGGCAGCTCCTCCCAATCACCCAGGGCGCAGACACTGAGGTCTCAGGCAGACCTGGGGGGTGGGGGCCGTGCGGTGAATACCTGCAGCATCTGGCTGGCACTTCACCTCCAGGTCGACAGTGGACAGGCACAGCTTGTGGCCCTCCTGCAGTGCCGCCTGCTCCTTGGCGCTCCGCATGGAGCTGCCCACGCTCAGGCGGCGTCCCACGGTGGTCACCTGCTTATAGAACTGTTTCCCTGTGATCTTGTGGTCAAAGCCCAGCCAGCTGAACTTGATCTTCACCCTGGAAGCCATAGGATAGTGTCTGTTGGTGACCCAGGACCCTGGCTAGCATGAGGGTTGGGGCCAAAAGTGTGCAGACTTACGAGTAGTCCATGTCCTCCGGCCCCGGGAAGGGCTCCAGTGGCCAGTTAAAGAAGCAGTTGAGGAAAACCAGCCCAGAACAGCCGGCCCAGACCACAAGGATGACAATGAAAGAGGCACCCGAGTCGTAGATGAGCTGCCAGGCACATGGGGACAAAGGGTCAGAGTCAGAGTGGGCAGTAGGCACCTGGAAGACCCTGCTTCCCTGTGCTGAGCTGCAGGAGGAGGCACAGCCCTGGCAGCCTGGCCCATTGGTCATCCAAAACCCTGCATTCCAATAATTCCAACTTGCCTGGCCCTGGCATGTCACTAACTTGGACCAAAGGTCACCGCCTTGGAGAGGCCTTTGCTTACTACCCCATCACTGTCATGTCTGCCTCACTGGCCCACAGTGAGCAGCCCTGGGTGAGATCAGTGCATTGCTTGATGGATTTACTTGTCTGCTGTTAGTCCAGCTCCCTGAGGACAGGAGGCTGCTGACCCTGTCCACAGAAGCGTGAACAAGGTAGCTTTGAGGCATATGTGCACATATGAATGCATCTCCTTCAGCTCCTCTGTGCAATGGGTGTGACGCTGGCATGGGTCCTTAGAGTGTTGTGTGGTAGGTGGGCGTGAGAATGCGAGTGCTGAGTAAGCTAACAGTTACTGCTGTGAGTACTGATTATTTCCAGTGTCTACATGAGAATCCCCAAAGTATTGGCATACAGCTGCCCAGCTACAGCTGCCCAGGGAGGAGGCCAGCAGTTATAGACACTGAGAAAAGGAAGAGGAATTTGTAGGCTTCTTCACCATCTAGGAGCAAAAGAACCTCCAAAGTCCACAGGACAGCTGGTCCTAGATTCTTACCTCCTACCACCTTGATTCCTAGGTGACCAGTCCACATCTGGGACTGCCTCCCCTCATCAGTAATAGCTCCCCCCCCCCGCCCCCCTGCTTCACATCTCTGAGGAGTGTGGCTTTGACTGGGTCCTGGTGCCCAGGGAGGATAAAGTCCTTGCTGAAGCTCTGACAGAGCAACAGGATTTGGGGAGGGAACCTGGGTTGGTAGACTGGGAGGTGTTTGCTTCATCCTGACCCCATGTGACTTCCACAGACATAGAATCCTGCCCGGGAGGGAAACAGCTGAAGCAACTTGGCCAAGAGCAGAGCTTTGGCTAATGAGGAGCCACAGCCCAACAACAACAGGCTAGGGGGACTCGGGACCAGAGGGAACTCACCCACCCTCCTTTCCCTAACCCAGCCTGTGGTCACACACTACAGCAATATGCTTGAACCTCCAGTTCCCCACGGCCTAGGGGTTTTATTTTCTTACTCCTATGGTGCCCAGGTGCATCCTGCCCAGGTGCAAGGGGTGGAAAGGGAGGGGCCTTCTCCAGGGCCAACAATGACTTCTCTTTTCAGAGAGGATTAAGGAGCCTTGGGGGAGGCCTCTGCACATACACTAGCACAAAGTACCCTGCTGAAGACCCATGGCCACACCCTTACCTTGATTCCTGGGAAGGTAACTGCTGAGGAGGCGTAGGATCCAATCATCAAGGCAATAAATGTGGACCGAAGGTCGCCGAACATGTTGGGCAGCTAAAAGATGGACAGAAGCAAGGTTTAGAGGAGGGAGTTCAGAGCCTAGGCAGTGTCAGGGACACCTGCCCTGCTCTAGGGTAAGCCACAGGGTAGTCCAGGGGCGATTACTATCAATTGCAGATTTTCCATTTCTGGACTGAGATGGATAAGACAAGAAAAGGAAAATTTAAAAAAAAAAAAATCAGGTTGGGTAATAGTGGTGCATGCCTGTGTCAGGATGCTGAGACAGGAGGACCACAAGTTCAAGGCCAGCCTCAGCAACTTAGCAAGGCCCTGAGAAACTTGTCTCAAAATAAAATATGAACAGGGCTGGGGATGTGGCTCAGGTGGTACAAGCACCCCTGGCTTCAAACCCCAGTACCAAAAAAGAGGGGGTTTCCAAATGTAAAGAGATGGTTGTTTGACTTTTGGGGGGTTAAGTATCCTCCTGTTTCTGCCCCTGGCATAGGCCAGGGGCCTTCTTATCTTTTCAGGGTTATACTGAGATGCCAGAGAACAAAGTTATGAGCCTCAGGCATCCCTCAAAGGGAGAAAGCCCGATAAAAATAAGAATCTATTTGGGGATAAGAACGTCACTTTATAAATAAAAATATCAGAGTCCCAGAAGGACCAGATGTCATCAAAAGCTGCTTTTAGTTTTGAGAGAGTAGGTTTCTGGGAGGTGCCATCAGAATTCTATAGTTCCCTCAGGGCTAATAAGAAAACCAGCCCAGGTTCCTGGTTCTGAATTTCTAAGTACAAATAGGGGATCCTCCTCCCACCTGAGGTCCCATCCTAGCGATGGGCACCTGAGAAGGCTAATGGCAGAATTAGCTTTAATTAATCAGGCCCTGTGTCATGACAGCTCACCCTGGGTGCAGGGCAAGAGATGGCCCATTGAACAAGACTTCAAGGCCCAACCCTCAGTGATTCTGCAGAAACCCAGGTACAGTAAAATGCTACAGAGTCATGAATTCAGACAGATCTGGGGCAAAGTACATCTTCCCAAACAACTAGCCTTAGCTTTTCTTCTCCAGCCTCAGGAGAGACTGCAATGCAGTAGACTCACACCCACAATGTCCCTGCCGTAGCTCCTGAGAGTTATGCTATCCAATGTCATTGAATTCAGGTTGACTCCAGGGATATAAACTATATTCCCCTTCCCCACTTTTGACTTGAATCATTTTTGTTTTATCAAACATGGCTACTGCAAGCTAAATCGTTGCTGCTGAATGGAGGCAGCTGGAACTTGGTTATATGCCTGTTCCTCATTATTTCTGCTTTTTTCTCCCCACAAATGTAAGTAAATAATGGACATTACCAAAATTTATAATTCTGGGTTGGGCTAGGTGTGGTGGCGCACATTTGTAATCCCAGCAGTTTGGGAGGCTAAGGCAGGAGAATCACAAATTCAAAGCCAGCCTCAGCAATGGCAAGGTGCTAAGTAACTCAGTGAGACTGTATTTCTAAATAAAATACAAAATAGGGGTGGGGATATGGCTCAGTGGTCAAGTGGTCCTGAGTTCAATCCCTGGTACCAAAAAAAAAAAAAAAAAAAAAAAAAGCGGAGGGCTGGGGATGTGGCTCACTGGTTGAGTGCCCTTGGGTTCAATCCCCAGTAAAAAAAAAAAAATTAAAAATTAAAAAAAAAAAAATTCTGGGTTGGGGATACAGCTCAGTGGTAGAGTGCCTACCAAGCATAAGGCCCTGGGTTGACTCCCTAGCACTGCAACACTGCAAAAAAATAAAAAAATTAAAAAATCCCATGCTTGGGCTGGGGTTGTGACTCAGCAGTAGAGCGCTCACCTGGCATGTGTGAGGCCCTGTGTTCAATCCTCAGCACCACATAAAAATAAATAAAATAAAGGTATTATGTCCATCTACAACTAAAAAAATAAATATTAAAAAAAAATCCCATGCTTCAAAGGACACCACTGAAAAAGTAAAAAGCCAGATTGGGGATGTGGTTTAGTGGTAGAGCACTTGCCTAGCACATATGAGGCCTTGGGTTTGATCCCCAGTACTGGGGGAAAAAAGTTTCAAAATGCATAGAATGGAAAAAAAATTTTACAAAAATCATATATATGATTAGGGGCTTGTTTGAGGATATATAAAGAACCCCTATAACTAATAAGAAAACATTTTTTAAATGGGCAAAGGAGCAGGTGGGGGTACATGCCTGTAATCCCAGTTATTTGTGAGGTTGAGGTAGAATGATCCCAAGTTTGAGGACAGCCTAGGCAACTGAATGAGGCTCTGTCTTAAAAAATTTTTAAAAGCACTGGGGGATATACCACAGGGAAGAGCATCCCTGGGTTCCATCCCCAGTGCCTCAGAATTAACAAGAAGAAAGACAAAGATATGAACAGGCGCTTCTCCAAAGAAGATATACAAATGGGAAAAAAAAAAAAAGAAATCACAGGAAAAGATACTCAACATCATTAATCACAAAGAAATGCAAATCAAAACCACATGAAATACCAGTTGGTCCTCACTAGGATGGCTATACTAAAGTCAGATTTAACACATGTTGTTAAGAATGTAGAGGG